GTTCTATATGTTGAGAATCAAGAATTAGCAGAAGGTTCGAGTTTTGATAACAATTTAATGTGTTTATGTCCATTTTGGGACCAAATTGTACACGATTTGCCCTGTCAAAAAGCTTTTGGATATATTGATTAAGTAGCCGACCAAAGAGTAGTTCAACGATCAATCTCAATCGAGAAGTTCAAATAATATTGGTTTCTGCAGAAAAAAGTTATAGAAAAGTGAGTACATTTTTCCCCTTGACCTTTTACTTCAGTGTTACCTGTTTATTCAACTTTGCAGGCAAGGCAAGTTCACCCTGACAAAAACCCAAATGATCCTCATGCAGCTGAAAAATTTCAGGCATTACTTATTTGATTTCTGATAATTATTTTGTTCATTTAATTATTTTTATGAAATAATTCTTAGCATCACTTCAGGTATTAGGAGAAGCCTACCAAGTTTTGAGTGATCCAGCACAAAGAGATGTTTACGACCGCAATGGAAAGAACAGTATATCTAAGTGAGTCTAACTAATGTCATACTAAAAGTTCACAAAACTCATCGATTTCCCCTTTTTTCCTCCTTAAAATTGGTGTTCTTACGTTCCTCTGTGAGCCATAAATATAAATGTATTACAAAAAATTGTAGATTTATGTTGTAAATGTCTACTTCATAGTTTAACTAGAAAGCTAAAAAAGAGGTGGATTGGTTCTTTAGATTGCCAGTTTCAGTTCTGGTAAGAAGTTTTCGTGTATAAATAATATGCTTATGGTTCGTACTTTTTTTCCAACGTCTTTCTGTTTTTGTAGGGATTCAATGCTTGATCCAACTGCAGTTTTCGCCCTTCTTTTCGGGAGCGAACTTTTTGAGGACTATATCGGTCATTTAGCTGTAGCATCTATGGCGTCTAATGAATTATGCGAAAATGATAATTCTGATAAAGTCCATGACAGGCTCAAGGTAGTAATAATGCGGAAGTTTGATCATATCTATATTTATCTTTCAACTTTTTCGCTTTAATAGATTTTCACATTCCTTCTAACAGCAAAACAACTGTTCTTAATCAACAACAAAATCATCTTACACATACTGTACCATGGTTGTCCTACTCTTTCACCTACATTATAGGTGTTTTTCAATTTTTTTATTTTTTTTTTCATTTTTTAGGTAGTTCAAAGGGAGAGAGAAGAAAAACTTGCTAGGAAACTTAAAGAGTTACTTCACCGTTATGTCCGTGGGGACAGAGAAGGCTTCTTAAGACAAGCTGAATCCGAAGCTGAACGACTTTCACGGGCAGGTCAGCTTTTAAATAAAGAAAGAAAAAGGATGTCAAGAAAGGAAGTGATTTCAACTTTAGGCTAACGAAAATCAGCTTCGTGTCATCGAAATGTTTAATTTCTTCTGATTCCATTCTGCATAGTTGATAAAGATCAGAAAGGAAAGGAATACTTTGAAATTTTGATTATGCAGTTGATTCCATATTTACACACAAGTAACACTTTTCTTCGACTTAATTGAATCAACTCAAACTTTGGAGCTTAATTACACACATTACTGTTGTCAACTCACAGCCTTTGGAGCCGAAATGTTGCACACAATTGGATACATATACACAAGACAGGCGGCACTACAGCTCGGGAAAAAGGTCATGTATCTTGGAGTCCCATTTCTAGCCGAGTGGGTACGAAATAAAGGGCATTTTTGGAAATCGCAACTCACTGCAGCAAAAGGTTAGTGCGTTAAATAACTTTTGCAATGATATTACACTCATATTGTCCTACAATTCAAAATTCACCATTTTTCTTCAACATCCGCAATTACAGGTGCTTTTCAGCTGCTCCAGCTTCAGGACGATGTTAAACGTCAGTTCAAAATGGAGGGTAGTGGATTGGATAATGAATTGGAGTCTCACCTAAGGCTAAACAAGGACACACTCATGAACTCACTTTGGAAATTGAATGTGGTGGACATTGAAGTTACTCTATTACATGTGTGCCAAATGGTAATTTTCACCCATTTGCGTAAAGTTTGGATAATTATACGAGAACCCCAAAGAAGTTTCAATATTATTTAGAACACTCTCTCCATAGCTTTTGATTTTACGTTATATTTTTTTCCATCATTTCTTCTCACCTCTTTTATGTATTCTTTTGTAGGTTCTACAAGAAAGCTATGTTAGGAAGGAAGAACTGAAAAAACGCGCAGTGGCCTTGAAAATCTTGGGAAAAGTCTTTCAGGTAAGTTCTATTTAGATTTTATTAGAACAATATGCAGCAAAGTGAAGATTTTAATCGGCCTTCGTAACGAGAAACTATACAAAAGATAAACTTTTTTGTATTTAGAATCAGAAAAACACGCAAAATGTTGGGACATCAAAAAGGGTCAATGCAGACGACAGCAGTTCAGAAAGTTCTGATGAAGAAGATGACTCGCCAAGATCCCTAAACTACAAAACTCCATTACTTACACAGGTAATTTATCTGCATTACTGGATTGGCTTTCCACTCATTGCCATGCATGCTTAAAGCAAATATTAACCTTTTTGTTCTTCCTAAGTTGTCTGAATGTGTGTTTTCAAAAGATTCTATTTGTATAATTGTCAGACTACTCAAACAAGAATGTGTGTTTTTTTTTTTTTTTTGATTTCTTTTGGCTGACAGGGCATTGGGAGACTCTTCAGGTGCCTCTGCAACCCGGCATTTGACGTTGATGATGACGAGATTGTGTACAGAGGAAGATGAGTAAAATGAACCATTTATATACTGCAAAACCTCATTCATGAACCTCAGATTACTGCTGTTTTTTTTTCCCTGATATGTCCAAAGAGATTAATATTTGTGTGTAATAGAAAAAAAGTTTCTGAAACCTGCTGTACAAGAAACAGAGGAATGTTCCACTTTTGTTGGATGATTTTACTTTCTTTCAGTTCAAAACTTCTTCAAACTGCAACTAACTTGGCTAATTTAAGCATGAGGTAATTACACAAAACACCCAGAGGTCCAGGTTAATTACAGAATGCCCCTCGAGATTTGGTTTAATTACCAGCACACCTTCACGTTCGCATTTTACAGTAAAAACTCAAGGAACTCAAACCCATAATTGAGTCGAACTCAAGCCAAGCTCGACCATTTTTTTCCATAGGCTTGGGAGCTTGATGGGAGTCTAAAATAAACATATATTTACCTTAATATCCTTATTTATTATACTTATATGGGTTTAATTGTAAAACAAAATGAAACCAAATTACAGCATCAAATCAGTCTCAAGCACACTTTATTACTTGTTTCTAAAGCCAAACAGAGCAACATTTCAAGCACACTCACTTGTTTGAGTCGAGTCGAGCAGCCTTATACATATAACGGCTTATTATTTAACACAACATTAGGCACAATAACAAAATGTACCAAACATCAACCACAAATTAAAATTTACCAAAAGAAGCCCCAAAGATTTACATATGAAAACATTTCAGAATCCAGAAAGTAGCACCCCAAAAATGTCTCCCGACAAAGCGTCGTTTTATACAAGAACCCATCTCCCCTTATTTTACTCCATACAAACTCAGAAAGACATTTTTCCCCCAACACACACTAATGGGCCCAATAAGACACACGGGCCGGCCCACGGTGAACAGCACACGCACAGTGCACTGACGTCAAGTTCAGGCAGCCACTGATAATCAAAGAGTGGCGGCCAGGGCACGTGTGGAGGGAAGGGAACGAGTCGCAAACTGCCTGCACAGCTGGCGGAGTCAGGGCCGTGCACTGACTGATGTTAAGATTCGTGAGGCCTTCCTCCACCTCAACTTGGGCCCACGGCCCGCGGTTCTTGGGCCTGGCTGGGCTCTGTGCTAGGGAGTACATGGCCCGGTCAGTGATGTTTTGGCAGTAGTAAAGCCCGAGAGACCTCAAGTGGAGGCAGTTGTTTGCCAGAGCAATTACACTCTCGTCTGAGATGGTATTAGCAAAACGTGACAAGATTGGATTTTTTTTTTTTTCTTCAAGTGGAAAAGAAAAGAGTACAAATAAAGGCATACCTGTTATAAGAACACATCCACATAAGTCGAGAGATTTAAGATCTGGACAACCATAAGCTAGGCTCATTGACCATACCATTAAAGCCTCATCAGTCGCAGCACGAACACATCCACAGAGATTCAGAATTTTTAATTTTCTGCAAAAGCTCGCCAAATAACTAAGTGCAGTATCACTAAGAGCCGAACATCCACTTATGTTAAGCTTCACGAGATTCGGGCAGCCATGAGACAAGGCGTACAAGGATCGGTCGGTTAGCTTGAAACTCTTGGTAAGATCCAATTCTTGCAGATTAGGACAGTGTCTAGAGATTTTTTCTATGGCATAGTCTTCAAGCCTTGGTGTGTCTTGCCGAAGGATTAGAATCTGGAGTTGGGGGAATTTGGGAGATAGTGATACGACTAAATTGTTCATGTTTTTCTTGCACCTGATGAGGAGGCATGAACACAATGTCTTACTATCAATCATCACAAAACAATAATCCATTGACACACAAACGAGTTAAAGGAAAAAAGTAATTTATGAATTGCCTAGCATGCTAACAAAGTAAAGAACCACTGAGAGCTAGCTCCAGCTTATGAGTTGTATATTTTGTATTGTTTTTAAGTTCATTGTTGGACAAAAATGTATGCCACATCAAGATACACTATTACGGTGTGAATAAAATTGAGGGGAAAGAATAATTTCAGAAAAAATTACCAATCTTGATCCTGGAAGAAGTTCTTTAAATTTACATGAACACCCTGAAGCTGTTAGNAGTAGACGGCATCATTGATCATAAATAGCTTGAAATTTGAGATAACCAAGATTTTTTTTTTCCCCCCTCAAAATTGTTTATTTACAAGCAATAGCAAACGCAAACTAAATATAACAACAGAAACTGAACCAGATCAAATGGCTTAAGATTCTCACATCCTTAATCAAGCTAAAAACAAAATCAAAATAATGTATTGACACAAACCCAATCCCCCCCGATGAGCAATATGAAACACAAACGAAAACAAAATATGTACTAAAACAGATAGTACCAAGAGAGAGAAAGACGAGTGAGGCCCCAAGAAACGGCCTCTCTCCATCCCCGGCATACTCCAGATACAACAACCACCGTCCGATCATCCACCGCAGACAGGATTCTCAGCAGCAGCTCCACCGGAATATCTCTCCACTCACTTACCCCATCACCGGAAAAGTTGGTCTTATTGTCGTTATTTTCACCATTTTCTGTAACTTTGTGGGCACCGCCAAGAACCATTATTTCCTCTGTCCCTCTCATTCTTACTCTCTCTTTATGTCGTCCTATACAGTTCTTTATATAGAAAATCAAAACAGAAAAGACTAATAAATAAAAGTTGCAGGTGTTATTTTCAGGAAAATCACAAAAAAGGTAGAATTTTTCACCAGCTAATGTTAAAATGGCAAGGAGTTATCAGATATATTGTAAGGGGCTGGGATAAAGACTAAAGTTGCTAGCTTTTTCTATTTTGTAGAAGAAAAAAGGACTGTTATTTACATCTCTCTCCTTACTGAAAAAAAAAGAAAAATTATTAAAAAGCTCCTGAGAGGAAAGGAAAAAGGAGATGATCAAATTCAAGAGGAAAGATGGTTGTACCTTAAAATTTCAACGAGCTAGCCAGACTTGTACCTGATAGAGACAAAGAGAGAGAGCGACGTGTCGCATGAATATAGCAGTTTGGAGATTACAAGGCACTGTATTTTATTTCCACTTTTTCTTAATTTCTTTAGTTTGCAATATTGCTATTTTTTTTTTGTTATTTTTTCAGAGAAAAGAGCGATTTACTCAAAGTAATTTAACACCCCTTTTTCGAGGCAACATGATGGATCTAGAAAAAACTTTTGGGGGACTAGAACTTCGAACAAAATTGTCTGCGAACATAGTTCGGTCAGACTCGCAAAAACTCGAGTTCAACTTGTTTTTATAGTTAAACAAACTAATCTCAAACACTTAATCGAATTTGTGCATAACTGAGTTGGATGTCACTTGTTTATTAAATGAGTTAACCTGAGCTGCCTTATTTATTAATCAAACACTAGCTTGAACATGAGATATTTTAACTTGACTCGACTTACATAGCACTTTATAACACGCACACACACACATAAGGCATACCAGTTCATTTTACATTAAATAGATAAAATAAATACTAAAAATGCTCTATAAAAGATATAACTTATGGATTTTGGTGTTTGATATTACTTCAGATCACGAGACTCATTAACAATTGATTCAGTGTTAATAGTTCTTGCGATTATTTTTTGATCCAATTGCATGTCTTTCGTGCTCTGCTATTTCAATTGTTTTTTTTTTTATATATATATATATATAAGATATCACATATCTCATACATTCAATTTAATTAAATCCTATATTACAAAGAAAAGCACCAAATATTATAGATGTAGAGTGAAAAACTACTTACAAATATATAACGTACTTAAGAATGTTTAATCAACAAAGAAATATGTGATATCCAGTTTGACGTGTGGATCCGTCCCTGTCGAGGAAAATTCTGGAGGCAACGTTACTAAATTACTTTCAGGAGACCAGTTTGACGTACGATGGGTCAACCGACCCGTCGAGGCATGTAAGATCATTTGAAAATATGGTTGTTTTGCATGGGTATTCTGACCCAGTGAGTTGTATGAGTAGTAGGGCGTTTCTCTTGACTTTGAGAGGAAGAGCGCTGGATTGGTTTCACCAATTTTCCCCGGGGTCAGTGAAGGATTTCGAGGACTTTTTAGATATATTCTTGAATCAATATGCTAGTGCTGTGGCTCAGGAGAATACCTATTTGACATTGATGACCATGAGACAGGAAGAAGGAGAGTCGTTAAGAAAGTATGTTGTTCGGTATAACCAAGCGTGTGTAGAGATCCCGTTTGCATTAGACGAGGTCAAGGAGGAAGGTCTGGTAAGAAGTCTGCGGGCTGGGCCTTGTTGAAATTCGCTGGCCAAGACACCAGCTCGAAGATATGATGAGGTTCTCAAATGATGTAAAAAGTACATTAATCTAGAGGAAACCGAGGAGGGGTTTACCAAATTGGAGCAGTTGGCTTGGCCTGAGTCAAAGAAGGAAAGGGCTCATTTGCCTAGGCGTGACAAACAAGGTAATGATAGGGAAGACGGAGAAGGAAGAGTTGATTCAGGAGGTCGACGTGGTAAAGAGAACAAACGAAGGTGGGTTGAAGGAGGTCGGGAGGGCCAGGAGGACGTGGTCCCAGTTAAAAGAGGTACTATTTACATGGTTACTGGTGGGCCGATAGATAGAGATTCATACAATGCCACAAAGGATCATATACTCGAGTAGTGAAAAGAAAGTGAGAAGATGTCGGAATTACTGCTCGAATGCTACTGATAAGTTTTCGTGCTGAGGATGCGAAGGGTTCATGTACCGCATAATGATGCTTTCGTGATAACCGCGGAGATGGCTGGTTATGATGTAAAAAGGATTTTTATTAATAAACGTAGCTCGGTAGATGTGATGTTTTTATGATTGCTTCAGGCAGCTAAAGTTGGACTTAGAGCAAAAGGAGGTGGTGACGTCTCTGTATGGTTTCAATGGATACGAGGTCGTCCCCATGAGTGAGTTCAGCTTGCCGGTGGCTCTGGGGACTGGCTCGACCAAGAAGGTTAAGATGGTAAGATTCGTGGTAGTTGGAACATAATCGTCATACAACATTATTTTAGGAAAGGCAAGCCTAAACTCTTTTCAAGCGGTGGTGTCGACCTACCACATGACGATCAAATATCCATTAAAAGAGGACGTTGGTGAGGTCATGGGTGATCAGCTTACATTGAGATCTTGCTACCAAACAATTGTCGGGGTGAACAAGCAGAATTCTAGGAGGTTGTGGGCCCCAAAAGAGGAGAAGAAGGATAGACTAGACGGCTCCAAGTCGAAAGAGGATTAGCCCAGGGTGGACAAAGGAAAAGAAAAGGTGGACATCCAACCTGGTGGAGAGATTGAGGAGATCCAAATGATTGAAGGGCGTGGCAAGAGAAAGATTCGAATTGGTAAAGACTTGGAAGAGCCCTTGAGGTCGGGGCTTATATGGTTAATAAGGGAGTTTGCCGATATCTTTGCCTATACAGCAGAGAAGCTCACTGGAATCAATGCGAGAATCATTGAGCATAGATTGAATATCAATCTTATGTTCGACCTGTGCGCCAGAAGTAGAGGCACCACAGAGTAGAAATGGACAAAGTCATAGAGCAGGAAGTCGACAAGCTGCTCAAGACTGGGCATGTTGTCGAAATCCAGTTTACTAAGTGGCTGTTGAATATAGTGATGGTGTCTAAGTTAGAAGGCAACTGGCGTATGTGTATTGACTTTAGGGACTTAAACATGGCGTGCCTAAAAGGCTTATACCCACTTTCGAGGATAGACCAACTGGTTGACTCTACGGCAGGGTGAGAATACTCCTCAGCTTGATGGATACCTCGCAGAGTTATCATCAAATCCCGCTGGCGAGGGAAGACCGTAAAAGGGTGAGTTTCATGACGAGTAAGGGGATATATTTCTATGTGGTCATGCCCTTTGGACTGAAGAACGCAGGAGCAATATATCAACTTCTGGTCTGATATGGAATACTATACCTAAAGGAGTAAATCGGTTGAGCAGGCCTGTCGAATAAATCGAACAAACCACCTAGTCGAACGGGGTGGCCGTGGTTGAGCATCACAGGATTAAGAGCCTATGAATCGGAAGACAGTTTAAAAGAAATTTTGGTACGTAAATAGTAGGTCGAGCCAGAGCCCTCGGATAGCCTGGTCGAAACTCAACATACAGCAATAGATCGACCTAAAGTTGGTCGAGCTTTCGAGGACGAGGAGATCTCAGGAGAATCAAACCCCCACGTGATGAGGACACGCGACAGGACTTGATTGGTCTATACCATGTAACCATCTTTGACACACCTCTAGTGTGTGTTGTACGACCGGGAAGCTTGGGCAGCCAGCTCAGCTCATTTAGGTAGCCTTCTAGAAATAGGTACCTCACCCCTATATATAGGGGCGAGACATGCAATTTCAGTCATTACGTTCATTATACTCTTGTGAGTTCATCTTCTACACATACTCAATTAAACATCAGAGTCTCTTCACTAGAAAAACCTCCGGTGTGAGAGTTCTTGCAGGTCAAAGTCTCTTCAATCGATTTCCAGCCGGTCGGAGGGCTTTGACGTTGCATGGGTCGATAAAATTTTAAGGAGCAATTGAGGCGGAACATGGAGGTCTATGTTGATGACATGCTGGTCAAAAGCAAGAAGGAGAGCAACCATGTGGCTAATTTAAGAGAGACGTTCGCCACTCTGTGAAAGTATGGTATGAAGCTTAATCCTTCTAAGTGCTCATCGGGGTGAAATTAGGAAAGTTTCTCAGGTCCACTGTGACCAAAATGGGGATCAAGGCGAACCCTGAAAAAGTGCGAGCTGTTTTGGAGATGCATCCCTCAGAGAGTGTGAAGGAGGTGCAAATTTTGACAAGTCGGATTGCAGGTCTAAGTAGGTTTATTTCAAAAATGGACGAGCGAATCAGTCCTTTATTCAGAACTTTAAAGAAGAGCTTGAAATTCCAATGGTCTGAAGAGGCGCAGAAGGCATTTGAGGAGTTGAAACTTATACAGACAGATTTATCATTGTTGGCCAAGCCAGTTCATGGAGAGGACCTTGTCTTGTATGTATCGATTGGCGCAATGCCGATCAGCTAGGTTCTGTTGCAAGAAGAGGGGGAGGCCCAGTACCCAATTTACTATGTTAGTCGGGTAATGCAATAAGCTTAATTGAGGTATTCAGAGATTGAGAAGGGCGCGTTGGTAGTGGTTGTTACGGTAAGGAAGTTGAGGCCATATTTTCTAACTCACAAAATGAGGGTGCGGACGAGTGTACCTTTAGGGGAGACACTTGGTCGACCTTCGGTTTCAGGTCGATTGGTAAAATAGGCGGTGGAGTTGAGTGAATATTCTATTTCTTATGAATCTCGGAGGGCGATAAAAGCCAAGGTATTAGCAGACTTTATTCAAAAAGGAACTAAAGGGGAGGTCGAATATGAAGGGAGATGGCAGTTGTTTGTCGAAGGCTCGGTGTCGAAAGGAGAAGCAGGGTTAGACATTGTATTGATTTCGCCTAAAGGAGATAGCCTGGAGTTTGCGACCAAACTAGGATTCAGAGTGTCCAATAATGAAGCAGAGTACGGGGTTGTGGTTAAAGGCTTACAGTTGGCCTTAGTAGGAGGAGCTCGAGAGATTAAAGTACACTTTGACTCTTAGTTGGTCATAGGAAAGTTGTAGG